TGTCGATGCACGCATGATATTTTTCCCCCTAAGGATGCTGTGCCTCACGGTCATGTTCCCCTTTAGCTTAGAAAGTGGGAGACCCCGCCCACCCCTGCCAGGGGTAGTGGCCAACCTGTCACACCTTAAGGGGAAGTGGGGCTCTCAGCCCAGAAAGACAGCTCTCCTGTCTGTCCCTCAGCAGCCCGCTGGCCAGGGCAGCCGTGTCTCCTGGCAGGTGGAGCAGGCACTTTTTCACTCCATGGAAGTTTGCATTGCAGGGCATCCATGGCTCCTGTGTGAGAGTCAAACCTAGCTTTCCCCTGTCGAGACGCTGTTTCCCTAGCTCTACGGAGCATGTCATCTGAGGCACGCTCATGCACGCTTGGTGAGTGTGCCGCGTTCAGACCCCTTTCGAAATGCGAGCCCAGTGTGTTGGTTGTGGAAAATTCATTGAGGTTTAACAAATATTTTCATAAAGCTGCCAAAATAAGAAAAATTGCTTTTACCAATAAAGTAAAAAATACTGTCTAATATATTTTTGCACAGTGTGGTTTTAAATACCAGGCTGTCATGGACAGTTGAATTTAAATGCAAAATTATTTCATTATGTATCAACAGCAGTACAGTTAGCACAGTAAACTTCTATCAAATAAATATGATAGTCACTTCAAAGATTGACTGACTGACTGGAAGGAGAGAGGGAAAGAGAAAGAGGTATCTTCCGTCTGCTGCTCCAGTCCTCAACTGCCAGCAACAGACAGAGCTGGGCTAGATCAAGGCCAGAGCCCAGAAGTCCATCTGGGACGGCCATGACTGCTCGGGCCGTTATCTGTTTCCTTCCCAGGGACGTTAGCAGGAGGCTAGAGTCAAGGTGGAGTGCCTGAAGCTTAAACCGATACTGTGATATGGGATTCTGGCGGCCCAACCAGCAACTCATTAACCCACCGTACCACAACACCTAGCCTCTGATCTTTTACTCAAGTATCTGGTTTTTCCATAGCTAGAACATGGTGTCATTCACATTTTGTCTTCTCTTCTGATTTACATTCTTAATGATTTTTCCATATTGCTTCATAGCTGTCATTTGAATGTCTTCTAATACTCTATAAAATGGCCGTACCATTATTTATTTACATTATGCACCACTGTTAGGAAATCTGCATTGTCTCCCTATTAATTTTGTTATTATAAGTGATATTACAGACCATAACCTTCAAGAAGATTTTTTAAAAATATTTTAGCTTATATAAGAGAGAAAAAGAGTAAGCAAGGGCCAGGACTGGAGCTGGAGCATTCTAGATTTCCTGTGTCGGTGGCAGAAGCCCAATTCCTTGAGCCATCCTCCCTGCCTTCTTAAGGCCCACGCCAGCGGAAAGCGCGAGTGAGGAGCTGCAGTGTCCAACTGAGCCCAGGCACCCTGGCACGCGATGCAAGCCTCTCTAGCGCTTGGCCAAACGCCCGGCTCGAGGCATTTGCGTTTTTGTTTTCCGCACCCGTGAGTTTCCAGGCACTGCTGTTTCACTGATGTGACAGCAGGCTTAGAATGACCAATAATTGATTTTTTTTAAAAAGTGTTTTTCTGTATTGTGACATCTCTCCTAAAATTTAAGTTAAAGTTTAGAAGTGTCTTCAAAGCTGAAAACCACAGTACATGTTCTGTTGGTTTTTGTTTACTTATGTATACTGTATATGCTAGTGACAGAACCAGAGTGAAAATGCATGTTGGGACTCTGGCTTCTAGAAGCTGCTCAGAGAGAAGCACCCGGAAAAAACTGCCCCGTGTCACACTCTCTTCTGGCAAGTGGACTCAGCTTGCGTACAGAGTCTCTGTGAAGACTCGGGGACTGCGTCTCGATAGGAGTTGCTGTTTTAATGATTAAGGTCAAGTTCCAGATTATCTTGGGCTAGCCTCCGCAGGCTGAGGCCTGGGCTCCCCCACACCTGCGAGGGAAGCGCGGTAACTGGAAACTGGGTGTTGATGGACTTTTTAAAGAACGACCTGGCTACTGAGCTGTGTGTAGCCGGTGTCCACTTCTAGGCAGGTTGAGGATCTAATAAAGATTTTTCTGGCTACAAGAGAGATGAACCCCAAAGTGTGCCCCAGATGATGTGCTATTTCATGTTATATAGCAAGCATATTGTGTCACTGGGCAAAAAGCGGTGTGACAGCTGATTCTATTTTTTAAAACACTGTATAATGGTCCTTTCCCTCAAGCTTACAAAGAAGCTTTAGAATCCCAGAGCAGATTGCTTGAAGGAAAAAAAAAAAGTGAAGTAAATTTTCCCTTCCCTTGCAAGGGAAAGAATAGTGGCTTCTGAAACCAGAATTTTCACCTCTGCAACCTCGCCACCATTCAGTGTGCATTCACTCAGTGCTCAGGGGAGAGGGTGGGCTGCTTTGGTCCTGCGAGGAGACTCGTCGGCACGCTGAGGCACTGCGCTTGCTTTAGGGCACCCGGGGAGTGTGATGAGTTGGGTGGTGTCGTGCGCAGGGCACACTCATTCACGCTGCTGAGCAGCCACACAAATGACTGACTCCGCAGTGGGAATGCCGGCAGATCGGGACCATCACCAGACAGCGTCATGGTCTCATGGAAGAAGGCGCTGGTTCCGGGCAGTGGCTGAGAGGGGGTGCGAGTGCAGGCATGCAACGTGTTTCTTGGTTTTTCTTTCTGCTGGAAGGGGAGGAGATGTCGGTTCTCTCCTGTCAGCCCAAGTCTAACCCAAAATGCCTCTGGTTGGGTGTGGAAGGCAGGCAAAGGGAGGACCGACCATGGCTGTGACGGTCAACAATGCAAAGTCTCACTGGACAGTTCCACCCCCGCCACTTTTAGATTGCATTTGGAGATTGTTATGTAGACAAAAACCATTAAGTGAAAATGAAGATGATGGAAACCCAGATGCTTCTGGTGGAGACGGAACCTGCATCCCAAACATGAAGGGCTCTGGCGGGGGCAGCGTTCAGGGAGCAGCCCGGCACAGCACAGGGTCTACGAGGGTCTACAGGGTTCTGGAGGGCCAGGGCTGTGGGAGGCCAGGAGCTGGGAAGTGGGCCATTGGGGAACTGGTTTAGAATGTTGCAGCACCTAGTTAATCAGCAGCCAGTCCATCACATTAAATATCCAGCCGTCATGTATTACCTTTCAAGTGAAAATGAATAACTCCCATTAAGAGCAAAATGGGTTTGAAGTCGATTCGAGACAGATGAAAGTACTGTTATGAATGTGTGTGTTGGGAAAGGTGGGGGTGGCAAGAGCTGCGTGTAATATGCTTGTCCTTGTACTTTTTACATAATAGATGTCTTACAAACTTAGGGTAGACCAGGTTACTGAGATACTGAGGTCAAAGGTTGTAAGATGTACATTCTGGGAAGAGCAGCAACTTCCTGGAATATTTCCTGCATTTGGCATTTTTTTTTTCAAAAATGTTTTTTGTGGTCCTAGGATTTTAACGAATAAAATTGATTTTCTAAAATTGTTCATTAGGACAGATGATCGGTGCAGTGATTCAGGCGTGTGTACCATATTGTGGGGCCTGGGTTCCGTTCAGTCCTGCCTCTGCTTTTGAGCCAGCTTCCTGTTAAGGCATACGCTGGCGACAGCAGGAGGGGAGGGAAGGACCTGCATCCTTGGCCATGGAGGAGAGCGGGGTGCAGTCCCAGGCTTCGAGCTGTGGGCTGGCTCACCCCTAGCTGGTGTAGGAATTTGGAGAGTGAACCAGTGAATGGAAAGTATTTCTCTTTCTAATTAAATATCTTAAAAAGTAATTAAAGTACACACAATGATGATATCTTGGTGTCCATGTTGAAATAAATTTCAGTGCTGAGCATGAAGATCGTAAGACAGAAAGCGATTTTAGCAAGAAGTAAAAATGAAGCTTCATTAAACAGACTTTAATGCTGTTTTTTTTTTTATGACAATGGGCATGTATCTTTTTCACTATTATTTCTTTCTGAGGATTTATTTATTTGGAAGGCAGGGTGATACGCACAGAGGGAGATCTTTCATCCACTGCTTTATTGCCCAAATGACTGAAATAGCGGAAACAGGCCACAGCCTGGAGCTAGGGACTCAGGTGCTTGAGCGTCATCTGCCACATTCCCAGTGCATCAGCACGGGGCTGGGCGGGAAATGGAGCCACTTAGATTGGAACCAACAGGCATAGAATGCTGGCGTCCCTGGCAGGGCCTACACATGCCATACTAGGGCACCTGGGTGTGTGTTCCTTTCTCATTTTGAAGGTTTTAAACATTTTTACTGCTTTACACAAAATTCTGAACAGTGGAGTAGTATAAACAAATGAAAGGAGCCAACCCATGCGCGCTGACCAGGTTTTGGTGCCACCAGTTGCAGCCACATTGGAATTCGTGTTTGCCCTGGAGGACCCTGTTTGTCCCGGTGGCAGTCTTAGCCAGCTGATGGCTCAGCAGGTCGCTCGGGTGCTCCGCACACCCCATGGGCTCCTTGCGCCGTGCCTGCTTGCGCCTGATGTGTGTTCCTCAGTGGTGGCAGCCAGGAGGATGTGATTGTTTTCAGGCAGCCAGGAAGGTAAACCTTGCTCAGACCACACTGGACAGCTGGCCCGTGCTGGGCTTCTTAAAGGCGACACAAATCAAGCTGGAAGTGCCCAGACAGTGAGATCTTGCAAGTGCAGTGCGGTGGGCTTTTGCGTTGCTTTGCTAGCTTCCCCCATAAGCCAGCAGACTGTGTCTGCAGTGGGGAAGGTTAGAACAGACGAAAATCAGAGTAATTCAATCCCAGGCCCTTTTATTGTATTTCGTTACCTTCTTATTATTTGGCTGTCAAACTAGTGATGGAAATTCGGGGGGTGGGGGTGATGAAGGCCCTGGTCTTCCTCCCACAGGCTCGGTCGGTGAGTCTGCATGTCCATCCTAGTTGTGTTCCAGTGTGCTATAGAACTCCTGTTACATAAATGAATGTTGGTTTTCACCCAGCACAAAACCTCAGGGAGCTGGCCTGGCCTGGCTGTTGTAGCACATCTTCCACTTTTTCTTCCAGCATCGTCCAGCCAAGCAGAGAAGGAGCTGACAGATACTCCTGCCACCTCCAAACGCATCTCCTTCCCAGCTAGCTCGGAGTCTCCCCTCTCTTCAAAGCGACCAAAAACATCAGAGGAGATCAAACCGGAACAGGTGAGGGCAGAGTGGGACCTGCTGGCAGGGGGACTGCTGGCGGTGAACCCCAGGGTGGCTGGGCTGGGAGCAGTCCTGGTTGCTGGTGGGATGAGAGATGAGCCGGCACACCGGATGTGTTCCTCGCAGATGTTCCAGTGCCCCTACTGCAAGTACAGCAACGCCGATGTCAACCGGCTGCGAGTGCACGCCATGACCCAGCACTCAGTGCAGCCCATGCTGCGTTGCCCCCTGTGCCAGGACACGCTCAACAACAAGATCCACCTGCAGCTGCACCTCACCCACCTCCACAGCGTGGCGCCCGACTGTGTGGAGAAGCTGATCATGACGGTAAGGCAGCCTGGGGTCGTGTCGTTTCTCCTTCTGCAGGGGTCAGAGGTGACACAGTGGCATGGCAGGGTCTGTGTTGCGGAATGAGAAAGTGACATGGAGCTGGAGATGTCAGAAAATGACTCCAGCTCTCCGACCTTTGTTCTACTGTTTCTGCCTGCGGCTTGGCGTGATCGTAGCCCAAAATGATGACCGTGTTTTCTCAGTATCTCCTGTTCTGTGTGCTGCGGGTTAGCCAGGCATTTATGGGAAGAAGTCACTATTCTGAGTCTCTGAACCATTATCGGACAGGTCATGGTCTGAGTCCCCCGCCCACTGGGACAGCCATTCAGCATGGTGCCTAAGACACTGGTGGGCCTGTCCGTAGCTGACACTGGTGTACCCCGTTCAGTTCCTAGCCATGCCTTTTCCCACACACATTCTCAGGCAGTCTCTTCAGGATTCTGTATCACAGTGTACAGGTCACAGACCTGTCACCTGTAGTCATCGCCTCTTCCATCTGGTTATGCAAAACTAACCGAGTGACGTCTCCTGAGGGCCACCATATGGAGTAAAAATGTGGGGAGTGGACAGCAGTTTTTATAGCCACCTTTTCATTTTGTTCAAATGGTTATTTCTGTTTTGTGTAAATTTAATGTACAAACTATGAGCCTGCAGTAATCTGCATCACTGGTTTACATTAGGCACTAAGATTTTCGATTTCTTAAAAAAAAAAAAAAGATTGATTTATTTGCCATTCAGAGTTAGGAGAGAGAGAGGATCTTCATCTGCTGGTTCACTCCCCAGATGTGGCTGGGGCTGGTCCTGAGTCAGGCTAGAGCCAGAAGCCAGGAGCTCCTGCCCGGTCTCCCAGGTGGGTGGCAGGGCACACTCGGAGCACCCTTTGCTGCTTTCCTCAGGCCATCGGCAGGGAGCTGGATTGTACTTGAACAGTCAGTCCACAAACCCATGCCCGTTAGGGTTGCCAGCATGGCAAGCCCTGGCTTTATCGCCTGTGCCACAACACAGGCCCCCAAATGTCGATGACTACTTCCTGTATATGTATTGGTTGTCATATTTTAGTAACGGCAGTAGCAAAGGTGCATTGCAGGTGGCTAGGGTAAAGGTCACTATGGATCTTTATCATTTAGCAACAGCGTCTTCAAGGGCACGACCATGGCAACTTGTGCGTCTTTGTAGTATTTCTCCACCTTTTCGTGAAACCCTTACAATAGCCACACTGAATTTAGCATCTGCTCTGAGCCTTGGCTAAACACAGCCTTGTGTATACCTGAACACATATCCCTGGACCCAGTCAATAAGCCCTGTTCTGGAACCCCCGACAACCTAATTCTGCAAGAGAAACCACTTCCTAAAGGGATAATGCGTGGCGTTTGCCATAGGAAGTCCTGTGTCTCAGCTTTGCAGAGAGTGGAAGGGTTCTCTAGCCATGGCTTAAAGCGCACACGCTCTGGGAAGCATCCTAGTTAGAGAAGTTGGTTTGCTAGAGAAAGTTATGGATTTGGGAACCAGGGAACAAGATGTGGAAAATGCAGTCTTGTAATTGGTCTTTTGCTTCCTGACGTCAGAGTGAGCGCCGCGTATGGGGGGCTGGACTCAGGGTGTGCCTGGCGGTACACTGGTGGCTTCTGTCATGGACAGCTGGGCTGTTGTACAGGAAGAACCCAGAATCCCTGCAGGCGACTGGTTTGGGTTTCTGTGCTGAGAAAACACGCCGGTGTCACTGCCCTGAGTTTGGTGTTAAGATGGCATTTGCAACTGTGTTACAACTAAGTGATTATAATGAACCTGTGGTTAAAACAATGCCTCTGGAGGGTGTTAAACTGTTATTTTATTAGAAAATTGACCCTGGGAAAGTATTGTTTCAGCTTTGTGATAATATCTCTGTGGCCAACCAGTGCAGCTCCACTTTCCATGCTGTATCATGAAGGCCTGGGCCGTGGAGTCGCTGGTCCCCGTGAGACAGGCTTGCTTTGTCACTGTGTGGCAAGGATCAGCGGCCTAGAGCGGGGAAGCTTCCCCCTTTGCCAGCGGGCCGGCTGAGAGAGCTGTCTTTAGCAGCAATATGGGGAAGGCTAACAAGCTCCCTGTAGTTGGTTGCTGGCAGACTTGGGGTATGTCTTGGGTATTTAAGCTGTTGTTTCTGGTAAATATTTGTTGCTGTCTAGATCTGAAATCTCAGGATCTAGCTTGAATTGGGTTTCAGTCTTTCTGAAAGTAAATCCCACCCCTGATAAATGGAACTAGATTACTTTCTACACAATGTCTTTCCGTGCAGTTGTAAATGGAGAGCGTTTTGAGGAGGCTTCATTTAATAATACCTTATCAGACAGCTTTCAGGAACCTGCAGTGTCTAATATGTCTGTTGCTATGGTAACAGCTGCTTGCTTATGCTCTGCATCTCATATCTGTGTCTTCCATGGGCCCCCTTCTTTTTAATGATGAGGGGGCTTGAAAAATATTCTCCACTGGGAACAATTGCAGTGCTGCCCTTAGAAACCACACCCACGGCACTTCATTCTGCTTGGCCTATTGCTAACAGAGCTCCAACTGGTCTTTTGCACACGTCACATGAAAGAAGGAAATCTATAAAGCTTCAGGAAGATAAGTGCCCCCCCCCCGTGGGCAGCCTGCCCCCGCCCCCCTCCCACCCGGTGGGCAGCCTGCCCCCAGTGCTGATTGCACATTGCTGACTCTCACTTCTTCAGAGCAGCTTCAGGTTCTGAACTGGTGGAAGGGATGTCGGGATTGCTGCTCTGTGCCCCTGTTCTCCAAGTCTGTTGGGGGAAGGTGGCGTGAGGGTGTGGGGGGTGGGATCTGGTCCCTGAATGAGGAAAGCCCACCTACCATGCATTTCTATGCTCTTATTCTAATGGATGACCATCTTTCTAAGTGGCAGGACTCAACCCTGGGCTCCTGGAGCACTGCCCCGTGTGCGTGGGTGTGGGGAGAGGCTCCCGTCTTCGCAGGGGCCTGAGCAGCTGGACCACCTTTTCCTCCAGCCCTCTGGCTTTCTTCCCTTGGGCAAATCTCGATCATTCTGTCTGCTGTGCCTGCGTGGATTGCCCTGCCCTGCAGCTCAGTCTCTCTTTGGGCAACTACTGTTTGTCCCCTGGGATTTTCGGGATTAGGTCCCGATTTTGCCCCGGTGCTTCTGGGTCTCCTGGACAGGCTGTGTGCTGGCACTCTCAGGTGGCCACTGGCCCCGGGGCTGTCACACCCACCTGGGAACTGGGGCTCTCACTTTGTCTCCATCTCAGAGGAAGGTAATGAAAATAATCGGGCTTCATTAATTCCGAGCCCTGTGAGATGATAGCCATTTGGAGCCTGTTTGCCAATTAGATGGTCTAAATTAGAAGTGACCTTGGTGTGCTGCCACCGCTTGCCTCTCGGAGTCTAATGACGCTTTTCTCTCCAGTTCATCTGCTCGGCTCCTCTGCTTCTGTTTCGGTGTGCGATCGTTGATGTGCTTCTTGTCAGCTCCCGCCACCTCCAAAACACTCCTCTTACAATTGGTTCCAGTCTAAACTCTAGATCGGCACAGCATTTATTTCTGTCCCACGGAAATATTAATGCGTCACTGCAGGGTTTTTTTTCCCCCTCATGACCTTTCTGTATTCAAAAAACCACACATAACACTGGATAAACAACCATACAGAAACCATTTTACGAAGGAAGGCAGGAGGCTAGGGAGGGGTTGTTAGTATGCAGTCAGTGCTGGGCGGAGAGAGTTCTGCTCTGGACAGTGGGGGGCTACAGTCGAGAATATATGGCATCTCCCGAAATACTTGGAAGAGAGAATGTTCAGTGTTTTACCACAAACCATAAATGTTGGCGGTGACAGATACAACTCTTACTTGATCATTATGCAAGTATATATGTATCAGAACTTTACATTGTGTGGTGTAAATCTGTAATTGTCAGCTGAGAAGTTAGAAAAGTAAACTTAAAGAAATGGAGTCAAGGAAACAGGGCCTCCCGACCCCATGGTCTAGCACTCAGCTGGGCACAGGGGATGGGCCTTTGGTCCCGACACTGGTTAGGGTCCTCACAGCCCCTGCCAGCGTACCCGGGTGTGCTGCCTGCTTCTGACTCCAGATGGCAGCTTCCTGCTAGGGTGAATCTGGGGCCACGGTAGTGCTAGGAACTTTCGCCATCTATCCAAGAAGCCAGACGCCAGGGAGCCACACAGGAGATTTTTATCTGGTGCAAAAGGGGGCAGAGAGAGAGGAAGAGGCAATGGCAACTGCTGCCATAGTGGCAGGAGGTGGGCTCCAGGGGAGCCCAGTGGCGAGAGGGGGTGTAAGTGCGCACGAGGTGGGCGAGAAGGAAAGGGGAAATGAAAGGGGAGGCAGGGGTGGGTACTGGGAGTAGGGCTGCAGCAGCTGGCGGACAGGGCTGTTGGGTACAAAACTGGGCACACAACTAAACAGCGCAGGCTTTACAAAAATGAAACCAAAACGGAAACTTAGAGAAATGGAAGCCTAAGGGAGGCAACTGTTTAAAGCGGTGGCGGGTCTAAAATGGCGTGGGTCGCTCCTCACCAACACTGCTGCCTCAGGTTGGGAGGCGAGAAGCCTCTGAGCTCTGGCCTGTGAGCTTTTGTCTGGCCAAGCTCCAGCCACTGTGGGCATTTGCAGAGTGGATTAATGTACTGGAGCTTGTTCACTGTGTCTCTTTAATAAGTCATTAAAAAGGCAGTATGGGGAGGCAGTGGGGATGGATCGGGGGCTCTGAAGGTGCACTGCTGATCTGCTGAGAGGAGCTTGGGTTTTCAGCCACAGCTGCACAGAAGGCGTTGGCGGCCCCAGGAAGGAAGCACCAGGACTCTCCCAGGGTGGTCACCTGGGGATGCCCCACCAGCTGGTACTGCTCAGCCGTGAAAGCTAAATGCTTTAGCATCATGTCCGTTTCTTGGACAGAAGCAGTGATCATATTGAGAGAGAGCAAGACTGGCTTGGGCTCTTTGAGGAAGGTCTAAGGACTTGCCCTCTTCCTTG